TGGTTCAATCTCCAGAAGAGGGAGGATGGAAAGGCAGACGATAGGGGGCTGAGAAAGGGAGGAAATAGGTGACAGAAAGGGAAAGGAGGAGAGATGAGAAGAGAATCTTTGATTTGGGCTCTCATGGAATATAAATATTTGTACTACCACTTTAGAGACATTCCTCCTGAGCCCATTCTTAGCTTGAGTACATCTGTTTCAAGAGAAAATCTGATACAGTAATAACTGTCAGAATAATTAAGCTGGTTATGATTGCTAGATTTTCAAGGTCTCAAAGCAATCTTTGAAATGTTGATTCTCAGAAAGCTCTTTGAGAAAGAAAAATTGAAGTAAGCTAAGGCAAAGGAGAACCAGTTCAGTTCATGTACTCCACTTTGAAAAAATAAAATAGAATAAACCTTGCCTACCTTATTACTCAGTACCGAGGAACAAACTGAGTTCTTTCTATTTTGATAATCTTCTGACTGCTTGGGTGTAAATGTGAATTGGCTATTTCTACAGTTATGAAATGACCTTCAAACTGTCTAGAGAGAAAACAATACAGTAGCTAACAGATGCCACTTCTAGATAGAATTTGATACACCAGACACATAGCAAAGATACCTAGAGAGGTTCTGTTTTAGATTAATTGCCCAGTCGATGCAGAGATCCTTCCCTGCCTCTTGCAAGCTAGGATCTCTTCTCTTTAGCACATACTGAAAATAACTATATGATAAAAGCTCCCTTGGGAACTCTCCTTCCAATGTGGCAGATGATGGCTGAACAGTTTTACTGTTTGGGGCCATCAGCATAAGGCTTCAGAATATTTACTCAGCACTGTATAAAATAAACTTCTGAAATAGCTGTCTCTTCTGTTTATTTAACAAGGATCTTTCTGATGGGAAGAGAAAAATTACTTACAAGACAAATTGCTTCAATGGCCAGTTCTGTGAATGTCATGTCAAGGGAAAGGGCAGACACTGTTATTTTTGATAGAGCACCTCAAGAAGACCCCTTTTTTAAACACTAAAATAATTGCCTCTCTCGATTAAAATCATGTCAGTCATGGACACTCACACACTAAGAATAATTTAAAGATATTTTAATATATATTGACATTTAATTTAATATATAAAGACATTAAATATGTAGAATATTTAATATATATTATATAATGTGTCTATATGTAAATTATATTATATATATAGCAGATATATTTTCAAGATAGCCAAAAAGAACAATAATCAATATTTATATCTATAATTGTATACACTGGTAGTTTTAGTGATTAGAATTTCTTATAATAATGTTTATCATAATCTATTAATTTTTTGTCATCTTGTTTATTTTTTATTGTTTTTATTGAGATACACATTTTCCTCTACTCCTCTTCTTTCCTCCCCTCCTCCTTCTACCCTCTCCTGTGACCCCCAATGCTCCAAATTTACTCAAGAGATCTTGTCTTTTTCCCCTTCCTATGTAAATCCTTGTATGTATCTCTTAGGATCTTCTTTGTTGTCTAGGTTCTCTGGGGTTGTGGACTGTAGGCTGGTTTTGTCATGAGAATGAAAGGCAAAAGGCATAGGAAAAAACATTTTCAGGTTTAGAGGCTCTTTTCGGGTGAATCATGCATATTCTAAATGCAAGAAAAATTTACAAGAAAATGTTGAAAGTATTGTCCCACAGATGTTCATAAATAAAACAAGATTGTCACAGTCAAAATGAAAATATCTCTGTCTCAAGACCATATCAGACTTCTCCTCAAATTTAATTTCTCCGTGGACAATCAAGTCTGAGAAGACAGAAAACACTGAGCTAAATTCCGATGATGTTTTTGAGTTCAAGAAACACTTTCATATACATTGTCTTCTTTCAGCTTTCCAGAATTATTACCATCTTCCAACCTCATTACATTAATAAGAAATTACTTAATATAATGTTAGGTTAGGAGTATCAGCTCAGGGGTTATGGTCATGACAGATTTAAATATAAGATCCAAATTTCTTGAAATTCAGTCCAATGTACTTTCTATAATGCCCAACTATCTTACCCAACTTCAAATGGAGCATGTGTTTAAAGATACAATCTCTAATTTGTGTTAATCACATTGTTCAGATTCTTAACCTTGACAAATTGGATAACTATAGGAGAATTCTAAGGTCCAGGACCTGAAATTTGAGAAGGAATATATTAATATTATAATAAAATAAATACTCATCAATATATATCTTTATGTGGTTAAGCCCAAGCTGTTGCCCCATTTCTCTGTGTTTATGGGTTCCTTGTATTCCACTTTGCCTTCACATAGACTCTAACTCTTATTTAGTTGTTCCTTTATGAAAAAAATTGTCAAAGAAAGTCATTTTCTAGTTGTGGTGCTGAAAGATATTTTGATTCAGAAAGTAATAATTTAGAACATGAAAGCTATTGATAAATTTAAGATAGAATGAGGACTTTGTCTATGGCAGAGAATAAGGATGGAAGCTCCACAAGGAAAATATTTTTGAAGTGGTTTTGTCTAGTGTTCTAAGCAATGGAAAAGTGTGATTTGGGGAGAAAATTATGTGTGCTGGCTGGTTTGGTGTGTCAACTTGACACTAGCTAGAGTCATCACAGAGGAAGGAACCTCAGTGGAGGAAATGCCTCCATAAGACCCAGCTGTAAAGCATTTTCTCAAGTAGTGATCAAGGGGACAAGGCTCATCCCATTGCGGGTGGTGACATCCCTGGGACAGTGGTCCTGGATTCCATGAGAAGACAGGTTGAGCAAGCCATGGGAAGCAGGCTCGTAAACAGCACTCTTCCTTGGCCTCTGCATTAACTCCTGCCCTTTCTGAGTCTCTGTCCTCACTTCCTTCAGCAAGGACAGCAGTGTTGAAGTGTAAGTAAAATAAACCCTTTCTTCTCCAACTTGCTTTTTGATGCTTCATTGCAGCAATATAAACCCTAACTAAAACACTATAATACAATTATACATTGATGGATTCATGTGTCAAAATGCCAGCATTGTATTTTCTATGTCATTCGTCCCATACTTACTTTGCAGAAAAAAATATACAATTAATACCACCAAAATTATAAATACCTGTATATATGATGAAAAATTTATAATTAAAATTTACATGACAAAGTCAAATAATCTTTCTATAATTGTTTAAACATTGTAAGTGATGTAAAGAATACAGAATATGTTATGACTGAGTTTTTTCCTGAGGTTGTATTTGTAGACATATTTGTAATTTTAATTTTAGTTTATGTTAAGATCCTCCAGAGAGGCAGAACCAATGTGATAAAAGATAATTTATTAAGAGGATTAATGCATGTTATTATGGAAATTGAGACAGACCACAGCAAGCTTTTGTGTGGTAAACAACCAAGACAGTAGCAAGTCTTAAAATCTTAGAACCAGGGAAGCTTCTGGTGTAGCTCTCAATGAAGAAGTAGAAGACACAAGAAATCTTGAGTCTGTTAGTGACTATCCTTGAGTTCAAGGGCAATAGAACTCTAGTCCAAGTATCCAAAACCATGGAAAGAAGAGTATCTGGATCTAGGCCAAAAATGGTAAATTTTCTAGAAATGACTGTTTTCCCTTAGTAACTGCTGTGTCACTGTGATCAAAGTAATGGGTAATATAACTTTTAAGGGGGAAAGATGCTTTTAGGCGTATGCATTCATAAAGTTCAGTTCCTGGTAGCTTTGTCTCCTGCAAAATTTGGGCAGAAAACATGGTGAGAGGAGGGCTGCATTGAAAGAAGGACTTCTTGGTTTCTTGACATATAGGAAATGAATAGCAAGGAATGTGCAAAGGACAGGAATGCTATAGCTCAAAGACCTGTCACCAGAAACCTACTTATTCCAATAGGCTAAACCACCCACCCTCTTTCCACCAAACGCCACATGTGCAATCACATTACGTACCCCTTCAGTGATTATTTGAAAGCCCTTTTGTAATCCAGTTTTCTTTAGAAATGCCACTGGGAACATAAACAGAGGTATTCTTAACTAATCCCTGAGAAGTTTCTTAGTCTCATCAAGTTGATAATCAAGATTAACCATCGCAGGACCAGGGAGATCACTGAGTAAATAAATTGCTTACTACATCAGCAAGAGGACCAAGTTCAGATCCCCTTTCCCTACACAAAAACCTGGACATGGCAGCCTGACCCAACTGCAATCCCAGTGCAGTTAGTACCGAATAGGTTGCCAGGTCAAAGAGCACACCCGATTTAATAAGAGATCATGCCTCAAAAAATTATAGAAGACACCTGGCGTTGATCTCTGGTCTCCATACCTAGACACAAGTACACACCTCTGCTTATACTAGAGAGGTGAGGAGAGGAGAGGAAAAACAAGGAGATGTATAGCCACACTCTCGCTTTTTAACTCCACCTGGGCACTCAACAGTGTGTACAATCCCAAATCAATCCATCACCTCTGATGCCAATCTCTTCTAAAAACTTCTTATATATGTGACCAGAAATAATGATAACCAGCTATGGAGTTATTCCATAATCATCTCAAGTCAACACCAAAATTTAACCAGCATTTTGTACTATTTTTCTCAAAAGAGATCATAATAGAAAGAAACAAATTAAAGTCTATACGATCTAAATAGTGGACACTCTATTATTGATATGTCTTCTCACTTACAGAGAATCAACATATGCTCTTAAATAATTTTAATTTTAAAGGAAAATTCTCATAAGGAATACTTAGTACTCTCAAAAAAGAAAAATAATTAGGGATCATTTCCATTTGATTCTTTTATTTCAGTTCTTGGGAGAGGTACAGTATAATTTAAATGCTATAAAGTAACAATTTATTTACTTTTCAATTTTTATAATAGCTTGAATTTTATAATTTTTCTAAAGCCCTCATAATAACATGTTTTTCTCACATGCAAGAACTGTTGGAAAATAGGCCACCTCTGAGTTTTCCTTTGTATGTGAACTGTCCATCCTTGTCTCACAATAAGAACAGGAAGAGATTTACTCATTTGTTGTTTTTTTTTCTCTTTCTCAGGTAAACCTCTGAATATCCCATGCAAAGCATTCTTTGGATTCAGTGGAGAGTCTGGACCAATGATCTATTGGATGAAAGGCGAGAAGTTTATTGAAGAACTGGCAGGTCACATTAGAGAAGGTGAAATAAGGTATAGGAGTCCAATTGTTTATTTTTCTTTAGTGTCTTTACAATTAGCCAGTAAATCATGCTAGGAAGGATTCTAACTAAAAAGTTTGCATTGCAATGTCAAGTCATTCTATTCTCTAAGACCTGATATGTTGGAAAGATTAAGAGTGATGCCCTCCCTTAAAATGTACATTTACAAAACAAAGACTTTTCTTCTAGTATCGAAAAGTCATTTCAAAATATAATGATGCCTTCATGCTTTCTAAGCAAATTCCATGATGTTTTCCAAGTTTAGACCACTGTTTCTACACTGGTAAGAGCAGGGCTTTAAACTTTGCAGGTGGCATCTAAGTTTGATGGACAAATCTCTGCTCTCTCCTTGGGGATCAAACAACATCTTCCTATGTCATAAGTGTGAATCTGTGTTAGTGATAGTAATCTGACACTCTTCCACAATAACTGTTGATTCTTGTTAGTGTTTATTTGTTTTGTCTCAGCATCCACTGCTTTCTGAAAGAAAGTGACGCTTCAGTTTAGCCCCTCTTTCAATATTTTCACTGTCCTCTTATTGTTATCCCATCTCATTATGTAGCTATCAGTTCAATTCATTTGGCTTTGTGTTTTTATTCTTTAATTTATTTTTGAGATTATAATATAATTGCATCATTCCCCCATCCCTGTCCTCCCTCTGAACCCTCAATTTAGAACCCTCATTCTAAATTCATGGCCTCTCTTTTTCAAAAATTGCTGTTATATAATCTCTATCTATCTATCTATCTATCTATCTATCTATCTATCTATCTATCTATCTATCTATCT